GGGGGCGAAGGAGGGGGAGGTGATGCGGGTGAAAGCGGAGTCGTGGGCTGCGGTGGAGATGGCCGTCGTCGCAGTGGCGGTGGCGGCGGCAGTGGTGTACTTGTTGGGCTAGGGGGTGTGGGGGGCGGCGGTGGGGATGGGGGTGGGGATCTTGGAGGTGGTGGTGGCGGTCGTGAAGGCGGAGGCGATGGGAAGGGTGAGGGCGGAGGCGGTGGCAATGGCGATGGTGGAGGAGGCGGTGGCAATGGCGATGGTGGAGGAGGCGGTGAGGGTGATGATCGCGGTAGTTGGGGAGCAGGAGTGCGTGGTGACGGAGGCGGGCGCGGTAAGGGTCGGGGTGAAGGCGGTGGCGGAGAAGCCTTGGGGGGCGGAGAGGGTGGTGGAGACGGGTTTGGCGGCGACGGCTGTCCTGGCAGCTGCGGGGCTGGCGGGGCCCTGAACATGTACAGGTAGATGGTGGGTGCAGGACCGGAAGTATTTAGCAAGCAGCGACGCTTATCGTAAATTAATTATGCATGATTGGTGGCTCGGGTGCGGCCGTGGAGGTGGCTCTGGAGTGAAGGGATCGAATTGATGGAGCTTAGCAAAATATGTAGCAAATAAAATACAGTTTTTACATGTTTGGAATGAAGTTTATGCATCTACCTCTCTGGCCTTGTTGGCGCACTCAGGTGCCGTACTGCTATGTCTCACTACACAACATACACAGGTATATATGGGCACATGCCAGTCCGGCTTCTGTCCAGGGGGCTCTTTTTATCTGCCCGGCAGCAGCAAGCGAACTCACGGTGGGCTGTCCACACACTCGTAGGAGCCAAACGTGAAGCGACAGATCTTGAGGAATATGGCAGTGCCAGAGTCTACCAGATCTGCGTACGTAAAAGCAGATTTTAGATTTTAAGGATAAGCTATTCACATTATGTGCATACACGTATATACATACACGTATAAACATACACATATACATACACATACACATACGTATACATTTAAATTTAATATTTAAATGTAAATTAGGCTGCTGGCACACACGTACACAGCAGCAGGGAACAATCCATTGCCCGAGTAAACGGTTTCCGCAGCGGGTTCCGTTCGTATCGTGAGTACGAATTACTTATGAACGTATTAGATTACAAGTTGCTTACGAGGAAAGGAGTACATGGTTCCCGTGCAACCAAAAATTAATTCCCCCTCCCCAGCCGCAAATAAAAATGCCAAACAAGCAAGCGGATGTTTTCTGCTATTTGGCCACTTGCCATTTTCATTTCTCACTCCGGTTATGCATCACTTGATTTTTTTTGTTGGGTGCCGACCCGCGCACGTGCAGGGCGCATAACTGGTAATTCCGAGATTTCGAACTAGGGGTTGCTTAACTAGGCGTGACGCCACGCCACGTGGACGAATCGATGGCGACACACCACTTCACCAGCGTAGATATCTTACTTAGCGGAGCTTCTCTTATTTATGTTTTTCGGTAATATATGCATTTTCGTGTGTAACGTTCCAAATAGTAGTTGGCATATAAACTTCGCCAAACTTCGCTCCCAGTCGCTCCTAATTCCAAGGCCCAAGATGGCAGGAATCGCAGCCTTGGACAGGTCCATTATCCTTGAAGGCTTTGCTCCAAGTACCAGACGCTTTGGACGACTTGACTTAGTTTGCACTACTTAGTACATGTACTCGCCATTCTTGATCGACGAAATCGCGCTAGCCAACCATTTTTGGCCAAGTTAAAAAGGATAGATAAAAAGCAGAGGCGCCATTTGCCTGTCACAGAAGACACATAGACCACACTACTGCACTTCACAAACCCAGCAGTCGATCGACACATGGACACCTGTAGTAGCTGTAGTACATAGTACGGCACACACGCCATCGAAAAACACGCGTAGAGGCGCTCCACCAGCATCTACATCGATGAGAGGCCTTTTCAGCGGTCAGCTCTACCTCACCGGCTTGTAACCAAAGCGAGCCTTGAAGCTTCACTCACCTCCTACCAGGATGATCATGTTGTACTCGCTCAGTATCGCGAAACTGCGTGGGCCGACTACTTGGAGGAAACTCCGCTCTGGGTTATCGGAGGTGGCTACTGGCAAGTTGTCGATGTTCTTGTTGACTTCGTGGATGTTGAGCTGGGGAAAAGGGAATGACGGGAGCCCCAGGTTATGGTAATTGGACTCCGTATACGTGCAGCAGTATTAGCGGGGGCTTGGATACCAAATGGCTTAGGAACGTATGGCACGCAGGCACATGCGGTGCACATGAGAGGAGCGGCTGAGCGGCGGTTGCTGGGGAAATAGTAGTGTATATATCTCCCCCACGTAACTGCACGTCGGCACTCCGCCCATGCATGTACGTGCACATGTACGTGCACATGTACGCATGGGCAACAGCAAAAGATACGTGGATACTTAGGGTTCGTATGCCGGTGGGCCCCATCCCGCGACGGCATGCTACTTATGCCGGCGCCCTAGCCACACAGCTGTCTAGTTGCGACCCTCGTGCGGAGTTGGCTGCTTTATATGTTTGTACATCCCTGTTGACTTCGTCCATTCGCATCATCAGCATCAGTGATTCAATCGGATATCCCTTTAGGGGAAGAAGAAGAGACTTTGGTTTTATACTTCCTTTATCTCAACGTTCATGCATCGTTCATTTACCGTATCCTTGGGGCAGCGACACGCATTACATCAGACATGGTGAGCTGCAGACGGGGATAATTTCCCACCATCACGCACTCCACATGGGGCATGGAAGAAGCCATCCCAGCATACTCTTCTTGATTCGTCTAGCAGAGGAAAACCCTAGACAGACCTAACGCAGAAGCAGGCACAGAAAGCATTGGCCACGCTATGTATATTTCGTGCACACACAGCACATGGAACGAGGCCTAGCAATGGATCTAGACGCGCCGTGCGATGCACCACGGATTCGCTAGCATACCTTTCCGCTGAATTGGTCATTGAGGTCGAGGTCGCCTGCGGCCTTGACTCTCAATGCGAGGTATAAGTTCCTACGGGTGGCGTGATGCATCAGATAGAGCGTCACATGCCGTACGATAGAAATGCAGAGAAATCGGTGGCCGACTGAAGCACACATGGTGACGTGACTTTTGCCGGCGACCCCTGCTAGAGAGCAAATGGTGCGGGATCGTATACGTCCGCCTGGCCCGGCTTTTCATCTGAGCATCGTCCCCTACATCTGTACGTCCCATATATCTGTATGTCCCTGTATCTGTACGTCCCGTATATCTGTATGTCCCGTATGTATGTTGTTACAGGGTGGTTAACTTCGCCAGCGGCCCCCTTTCCCGGGGCAGTCCCTGCTCTCCCCTGCTAGAGGGGCACCCTAATCCGTCACCCCATCCGACTTCAGAATGTATTCGTTGGGTTCGGCAACTCACCACCAGCATCCATCCAAATCTAGCGGATCAGCGGCGCCTCAACTTAGTTCCTGGTCAGCTCGCAAGTATGTCCCCTACATCTGTATGTCCCGTATATCTGTATGTCCCATATATCTGAATGTCCCATATATCTGAATGTCCCGTATATCTGTATGTCCCATATATCTGTACGTCCCGTATGGGTCTTGTTTGCCGTGTTCATCTCAAGTGCAGTAATGCACGGCCAGCTGGACCGCTGGCTCTACTCTTCGTGAGTCTGGAGCCCACTGTAACAGCCACACACATACTCTAAGCATCAACTTACTTGGTGTATGACTTGAGCCAGTCCGGTTGAATCTTGATCATAACCTTCGCAGGTCCCAGGTACGTGGCTCGCAGCGTATAGGGCTGATAAACCTTCTCTCGGAAATTTGAGGAGTTGAGCTGTGCTAGCGGAGTTGCCCAGCCCAAACTGGACAGCTCTGGGGCAGAGGGGCAGCTGCGGCCGTCGCCCATGGCAGTTGAACTATCGTTGAAGAGCTCGCCGCCACTATATGCAGGATAAAGTCCATAATTGATCAGCAATCCCTGCATCACTGATCCCTTGTCGAATATACCCTACGTGTCATCAGACCGGCGGTGGTGCACAACACCAAGGGATGCTTATCACGGCCATCGTGCATATGCATTACACACATACATACACACACATATAGCACGGCGCTTCGCACGCATGTTATGCACCTTTCCTTCCGCAAGGATCAATCCACTTGGGGTGTACTTTTTAGCATCATGCCGAGAAGCTGAAAAATGAATACCCTACCGGGCAGTGTCACGGCTATGGTGTGTGTGTGTGTGTGTGTTACACCTTGGGTTGCATTACACTACAAAGGTGCGTGTATGTACACATGTACATATGTATGGACCCGCAAGTGGCACCTGGCACTTTGTCGTCGGGAATATGGGGCAGGGGGAGGATGTGCTGGGGGGGGGGCTGCATGCCGCTCCGCTTGGTTGCTTTAGCTACCTGCAGTCCTGCAAACCCAGAAGTGCAGAGAGATAGCCGGAGAGATAGACCGACTGCAGCAAAGCATTCGGAGGCCTCGGGAGAACCCTTGGAGCCGAAAATGCCGAGATTGCGACAGCCAAGTTGCTATAGTTATACGCCTACCTGGTTCGGCAAGTCTGCGGTTAGCCAGCTCCTGCTTCCCAGCAATTCAGCTCGAACAAAGTAGCCACATATGGAGAGGAAGTCTTTCGGCATCACGTGCACAAAGTGTGTAAACATCTCAGGCTGTATACCTGTGTCGCGAAGGTAATGCAGTCCAGATATAAGCAGCAGGAGGCAGGGCAGGAGGCAGGGCAGGAGGCAGGGCAGGAAACCCCCTTAAGGTGGTGTTTAGCTCACAATGGGGTGACGACAGTGTTTTGGCTTCCCTCCGGTTGTGCTCAAAACCCTGCGCATTTCGTGCATTAATTCCCCTCCCACTGCCCAAACATCCCTCAACAATATTTTTATTGTTGGACGAAAAAAAATTCGTTCAAAGATGCTTGTGCGCTACTGCATAACAACAACAACAACATCATATCCTGGAGCAGCACACGTTTCCTCGCTCGCATGTGTAGTAGCTGTGCACAGTGGTGCGGCACACATATCCTCGGTAATGCACGTTGATAAGGCGCTACGCCGGCATCATAGATAGAGGCCTTTTCAACGGCCAGCTACTACATAAGGCGGTCCTCCTGCAGGCTCGAGTTACACATCCTAGCAGGCTCGAGTTACACATCCTAGCAGGCTCGAGTTACACATCCTAGCAGGCTCGAGTTACACATCCTAACAAACGAAGCAGCAACAACGTACCGGCGCCCTAGTACGCACCTGCAGGCAAGTTGGACAACGTTGCATTCGCGATCGCGTCCTCGTCACAACTCAAAAATGACGCCGAACAGGGCACTACGGTAGAGACGACCTGCATCAGCAGCGCCGTTGCGATGCGCACCCATGCATTCATAGTTCAGCCAACTATCGTATTCATATACGTATGTCTGTGCAGGAGCTGGTACTTAGTACAGCGCACATGTCGTCTACAAATAGCATCTCGAGAGGCCTTTTCAGCGACCAGATAATACAGCATATGCGTTTGCGCATACATGCATACATGCAGACAGACAGACAGACAGACGCACACAGCACCCGCTGACCTACCTTCAACGCCTGCCGATCAAGCACCATTTGGCCATAGCTGCAGTTCCTGAAAAATTCCGCGGAGCCGTTGGGCGCTAAAAAGGCGTTCTGCACATCTTGCACCTGCATTTCATTCAACCGTCAGGTGTTGTCTGTCGTAAACGTACGTCCATGTCAGCGCAGGCGAGTTGCAGGGAGATACAGGTTTCAGCGAAGTGTACGGAGGAGATGCCCAGCCCACGGGCCTTTCTGCCCGCGGCTCGATGTGGTGAATGGGTCGACGTAAGGAGAAGGCAAGAATGGCATCGTCTTAGAGGGCCTGCACGTCACCTCCCCGCTATGAATGGCGCAACCCGGTGTCACCCAAACGTTCGCCATCACCGCCCGAAGTCCCCCAGATGCGCCACCACTAGGTAATGGCCACTACTTGTGGGGCAATGTAGTAGCTGCCGTACACAGTACGGTACCTTGAAAAAAACAACTATGTATACACGCTAAGCGCTTCACCAGGATCTCGAAAGGCCTTTCTTCAGCGGCAGGCCAGCTACTACAGGCAAGACCATTCCGCTGGTTCTGCAACATGTAATATTACGGACGTACGGCAGTCAAGATGGCGCCAACGGATACTATTGTATATTACTCACAGTAGTTCCCGCCGGTCGAGCGGGGCAGGACAGAGATGACGTACTTATGCTGACCACCATCACGAGCACTCGCAGCGCGGCATTTGCCGTCGATTGCGTTGATGCGGCAACGAAAGGAGCCCTTGCGTTGGCGATACTCAGACACACGTTCCTTTGCGTGCTCGACGCGTAGCAAGTCTGCCATCGGGCAGGCACCGAGGTTCCGGCGGCAGGCACGCATGTGCAGTACATACGTAAGGATGCACAGGATGCGCAAACCACAATTGCGGGACAAGTAGGTTCAGGTAGGCATCAGCCGGCAAGGGTTAGCCGAACAAATGATTCGGCCTCCTTTGTCGATCTCAAGACGTTTAGCAACTAAGAGGGAAAGGCTTCCCTAGCTTTTGGTGTCTTATGTGGTAGGCGATGTGGATAGGGAAGAAGGCTTCAAGAGCAGCACGCAGTGAAGATCAGCAGCTTAGCCAAAATCAATAAAGAAGTTTCACATCACAGTATGGCCAGGCAGCTTCATGATGTTGTATTTACGACATGCCGTCCATTCCACGTCCATGCTCGACATACATACAGTGGTTAGCCACCCGTGTCTTGCTGATCGACTGGCCTCTAGAGATTATTCAATACTACGTCCGTTTGCCGTACATAACCCCTGGCAGTCCTTGAGCCCTCGGCTAGTATTGGGCGGTTTGCAGGTACGGGGAACGCATCCCACGACCATGTAATACACATACATACATACATACATACATACATACATACATACATACATACATACATACATACATACATACATACATACATACATACATACATACATACATACATACATACATACATACATACATACATACATACATACATTCATACATACATACATACACATAACCCCCCCAGTGAGGCCACGTCAGCGTCGTTGCGGTTCTTGGGTGCTGCATGTCCATGTCCGTACGGAAACTCACCAGCGTCACCGAGGCGCCCGCCGCAATCAGCACGCCCGTGGCGGAGTCGACCGGCTGTGCCGGGAGGCGGTAGCTTGTGCCGTCTATCGTATTTAGCATCCACAACCCACCACTAGGGTTGGGATATGTCATCCAGCGCACTAGCCGACCCTGCGAACGGTTTACGCATGGCAAGGAATAGGCACGGTCGTACAGCCGCAAGATCGTGGGTTATGCGCGTCGTGTACGTGTATGTGTAATCAGGAAGGGAAGCAGTCGAATCTATAAAAAGCTAACATCGCCTGCGTCAAGCGCGGTGGTAAAATATATTCTTATATTTTCTTCATACATGATACATGTAATGCGTTTTTGTGCATGTGAGTGAATACATGTGCGTTTGAAACACATCCGGTGGTTGCATCCTAGCGCGCGCAAAACACGCAGAGCAATCGTGGCATTTACCGCCCTCATGTCGGCCCCCGCAGAGCTGCGGCCGCTCTAAAGTTGGTTCCGGCAGGGGGATCCCCAGCCTAGCGGGCCAGGGAGGTGGCTTATCGGGCACCAGGAGGGCGCATCTCGTTGGATGCCCTATTGCATGGTATATGATGGAGAAGGCTGCAACACGACCGTGCCTTACCTGCAATGTCCTTGCGATTGCTGGTGGTTGTGGTGGCGGTGGTCTCGGAGGCGGCATCTTTGTTGGCGACGGCGACGACAGCACCGATGGGGGCTTCGCAGTAGGGACAGCGCCTGCCATGCGCCGTACATTCATCCACGTGGTCATACATATGTGTGTGTGTGTGTTGAAAGGGGAACATCGGGAACATCGTGTGTGTGCATGTATGTATGTCTTTCATCTGACGTGTGTCGTAATCTGCTCTGCTTCGTTCTCGACGTTTCAGTGCGCATTTCCCGCAGCAGTACTTCAGTTGTAATGGACTGCTGTTAGGGTTAGGGCTTGACGAGCTGATTTGGTGGCTGCATTCACACACACCATGATGACGGGGGTAAGCAGGGCATGCTAGCTGTTGCGCTATCATGCAGGTGTTGTGTTTCTGCCAAGGGGCCGTGCGCGCAGCAGCTTGTTGATTTGCTTTCATGAGGCTCACTTAGGCAGCAGTCAGCGGGGTAGGGCAGGAGGACCGCCCGAAGTAGCTAGGAACCGTGTTTTGTTTGCTTGCTCACCTGTCCCTGCCATTGAGCAGGACAAAAGCGCGAACAAACGGAGAAGTCCAGATACGGTCCGCATGTCATGTATCGCCAAAGGACGGGAACTTTGCCGGTATTTAAATCGAGGAAAAGTTGAGTCCTAAAGCCGTCCTGGTCCTGCGTGATGTGGCTTTTTCTGCATGCGATTCTACCGGAAAGCTGTGAGTTATTGCGTGAAACGTTTGCAGGGCGTGACTGTGTTAGCAATACGACGAAGTAGTTAGGCAGCGAGTTCTCATGCTTGTATCTGTTCCGGTTCACACATCATAATAAATCTTTTTGTCCATGCGGCCGTCACGGAGGCGGGAATGCGGACGGCGGCAAGGCGCGGGTTGCGAAACTTCAGGGCGGGCGGGCGGGCGCAAGTTAAATCGGCAACATGCCATCGAGCGCAGTCAGTTATCAGGTATGGAATCATTTAATAGAAAGCTTCACCAAGTATTCTATCGAACGAAAGGTGCGATTGGTTGTCGTAGCGAGATTGGTTGTGGTAGCGAGAGCTTGCGCGACTATCGTATAACTTTAAACTGGAGATTAACTTTATGTGCAAGATCTCACCTTCTTCACACGGTGTTTGAACACAACGCTGACATGAACACAACGCTGACAAATAGCAGTGGCCTCCCGACTACACGTTGGATAGAACAGATGTCACAATTGACATTCTTCACTGGAGGCGTGGTCCTTAAATTGTGCAAAATAAATAACCTGAGGTAGGAACTCTGCTAGCCGTACAATCGGGCTATTTGAAAAGGCTAAGTGTCCGTCCCCCATCAAGGTATTTATGGAATACCTTAGCTTCGTATGACATACACAGCGCGGCCATATAGTGTGACCAACGGGAAGCTGGGAGAACTTATGAGGAACTCGCGTATACCCCAAACCCCCTTGCCGCACCCGTCATTTCGATTCGTAATGGCTGTCCTGGACGCGGCCCACCGATGCAACGGGTCAAAAAGATAGCTACAGAAACCTGTAAATTGCAATAAGCCTCCCCTTATTCTACACAATCCGAAGGAAATAGCTATTTGCCGCGCTCATATGTCATTGCATCTGGGCAAACAGCAAGGACGATCAGCTCCCGTTCACAAGGGCGGCGGGCAGGCTCGAATTGCTACCTTAGGCTCGAAGCTCCGCCCAGCTTCGTCTGTAACAAGATGTCGAGTATTGATCAAAGCTTGTGCGTGTCTCGCGGTTGGCTCGGAATTGTGACAGTTTTTGACAGTCTTTAGAACCCGCACCCAGGGCACCCGGTTGTATTCAGTTCTATCCAATAATCCAACTACGACACAACAGACCGGCGTATCGGCCTGACGCAAATTAACACATACGCTGGCGGCTGTGCTGCAGCGACTTCCTTGCCGCGAAGTTATAAGGAGGGATGGAGGGATAGATGGAGGGATGGAGGGATGGAGGGATAATAAAAAACGCTGGCCCATCCACATAGGTCCAAACGGGCGCCGTCAAAGGAACTGCTGCTCCTCTGCTGCCTGGCTAGCAGGCGCGGAATGGATCCCCTAAGCGTAACAGAATAACAAATCCTAGCAATGTTGGTGTGCTGGCTTTTTTGCAAGCAAGCGCAGTTAGAGGATAGGACACACGGTCGGGGAGAGCAATTCTTTTGACTGCCCCGGTCGCACAATTCCCGTGCGTCCCTAATTCCAGCCCGGATCCTACCCTCCTGCGCAGTGCAGACTTGCATGCCACTGTCTGCGAGTAAAATAGGCTGTTGCAGTCTCGGTATGCTTGGTTGTGAACGAGAACGAGAACGAATGCTGCTGCCAAGGCGGATCTCGGGCAGTGCTGTGGACCTCTGTCGGTCCGCCACGCCATTGGCAGTCTGCCATCTTTTTAATGGTCGCTAACGGTCCTGATTCTCCCGCTGCCAGTTCCGAATCAAGATGGCATCCGAATGTCAAGTTCAGGTTGCAAAAAAACGATGACACCTTCTATGCGTGAATGTGAGCCATAAGTTTCCTGGTGATGATGGAGTTTTGCAGCTGGTGAGCTGGCTACCGGAGTGCAGTCAGATGCAGTCTTACAGTTAACGTCCAGATCATTTCGTTTGCTAATGGCGGATGAGGGGAGATGCTGCTGACGAAGACGTGGAGAGTTTGCATGCCCGCGCCACTCGCTAAAAAAAGCCGACTATTACAGCAGAGGTGGGAAGCAGAGGAGGTGCAGTCCGTCACCCTTCTCTTGAACGAGACATGCCAATACCAGTACACAACACCAGTACACCTGTAGCCCCTAATGCCCACGGTAGCCCTACCCTGCAGGGGTTTTCCCTTGGGGTCTGGGGCCCCCTGTAATACCTTCTTATTACGATGCATACGAGACCTGTCAGGGTCAAATATATTTAATTTGTATATTTGGTCTAGTTATACTAGGAAAAATCCTTCCAATGGTGGAAGGTAAAAGTGCCCTAGTCGATGACCTGGTGACGGTGATGACCTGGGATAAAGTTAACCTGCGAGCTGACCAGGAATGGAGTTGAGCCGCCGTTGATCCGGCAGATTCCGTTGGATGCCGGTGGTGGGTGCGGAACCTAAGCGATCCACTGAGAAGTTGAATAGGGTGACCGGATGAGGGTGCCCCGAAATACCGGGGAAGGCAGGGTCTGCGGGGTAGCGGCCATAGGGTGAAGATATGACCCCACACATCATACAGCGTCCTTTGCTCCTCCAAAAGCATTCCTCCTCCTGTCAGCTTCCTGACCACCAGTCGTGTTCTCTTTACGCAGCTGTCAGTGTTTATTGATTGCTGCTTTTTACGAAGAGGGCCCCGGAAAGGTGCTTGGCGCGTACCGCTGCCCTCATCATACGTTCCTTCGCTCGGCAAAATATTAATTTGGATAGGGACCACCGCCGGTAAATTTTTCACGTAAACTCCTGCATAAACATGTATTGAATACGTTTTCCCGTTTTTTTATGTATTAGGGTTTAGAGCATTACTGAATGTAGCAGTAGCAGACTTGCTAACGACAGTCTTCTGGTGACATTTGTCATTCGGGGTAGTTGCTTTGCATCGGATTCGCACGTGACCTTTTGCTTGCTTGCTTGCTTGCTTGCGCCCGCCGTAACAACTGTGATAACGGCCACGCCAGCCATTCGTAGAACTTGCCGCTTTGAGCTTCAACTCAATGAAGCCCGAGCAATTTTCAAAAATTTGTGGCTAACCTGCTTCTTACATATTAGGCCAGGGTTGATTTACTGTGCCATGTGGCGATGGAACTTGCCTCTGCTTTATGCTCTGCTTTACGCTGTTGTTCCTTCAAGTCAGATGTTGGCCAGTGAAACGTGCGGCAAGTCACGTGCGGCAAGTCATCAACCTCCGGCTCATCAACCACATGCATCCGCGCCCGTTACCTCGATGTCACCGCCTTGACCATGCTCTCTTGCATGGCTGCTGCACCCTTTTCCTCACACCCTCCCTGGAGCCCACCTAGGCTACTTCTTTCGTGCGCCACCGCACATGGGTCTACACGAACCACCCTGATGTCCCTCCTTTGCACGAAGCACCCCTAGCCTTGCTTGTCGTGTGGCCCTTTCCTGTCACCATCAACCCACATCCACCAAGGCACCACCGTCGGGGTTGTTCAACCCACTTCGGGCCCGAACTTTTTTGAGATTTTTCCGTTTTGCCCGAAAGGAAAATTAGTGTCGATCGGGAGTCTGGAGCCCACTGTAACAACCACACACAAAAACACATCCACCAAGGCACCACCGACCCTACCATCCCCACTTTCCGAACTGATGGCCGATAACGCATCCTAGTTGCTGTACTTTGGGGTGGCCATTCCTGCTCCACATACCACGCTCGTGGTCCCTCCGCGCCTTCTTGCAAGCGGATGCGAGGATGTGTTGCAGTCTCGTCCATCAGCTAGGAAAGTGGGCATGGTGGGGTCGGTGGTCAGGGTTCTTCACCTGGGAACCAAAAATTTCGGTCGTGCCCGAAACCCTCTGAATAAACCGAAACTTTCCCCGAAAGTTTTCCTGCCAGCCTTCCCCGAACGTTTTCCTGTCAGCCTGGCAGTTTTTTCGGGCCCTCCGAAATTGTCTGAAGCGGTTTTTTGGGTAAAATTTAGATTCTATCGTAATATGCTAGGACGGCTGAATTAACAGGTGTTTGACTCTATTTTGGAACATGGCGCCTGGGAGCAATCATTCAGGCAAGGATTTTACCCAAAACCAAGGAGGCGCCACTATTATACTATTTGTATGATAGGAGCTTACCAGGTGCCTTAAAGCAGCCGTGAATCCCGAGGGAGATGCGGGGCATCTTGGTTGGGCGCTCATCATCAGCTCACTCGGGCATGTTTAATTATGGATATGCTTGGATATATGATGAAAATGTGTGCTATACAGTCGCGAAACAGCCGCAATGCACATTTGTACTTGTTGTTTGACTGGTGACCAAGCGGACCTTACATTGCAAGCCCGGTTTTCAGGCCCGTTCTGCGCCCGAAAACATGCAAATTTACTGAAATATCGTTCGGTTTTTTTCGAAAATGGCTTCGGGAGGCTTCGGTGGGGTCCCCGAAGAAATGCTTCGAAAGGCCCCAAATTCGTTCGGGATGCTCCGGGGCGCACTAATTTTCCTCTCGGGCAAAACGGAAGAATCTCAAAGAAGTTCGGGCCCGAATCGGGGTGAACAACCCTGTCGGTGGTGCCATGGTGAATGTGATGATGGTGACAGGAAAGGGCCACACGACAAGCAAACCTAGCAGCGCCAATTTAGACTACTTACAGCATTACCGGTCTCATGCTTGCTCTCACCTCACCATTGCCCCAACCCCCCGGAGGCCTACCATCCCAACAACCCAATCTTAACAGCCCCAGCAGCCCCAGCTGCGGCAGGATCATGGAAGTCGACATGAGATCGATATGTGTATGTGTTACATGGTTGTGGGGTGCGTGACCCCATACCTGTAGAACTGCCCATACGAGCCGAAGGCCCAAGGGCAATATGCATACGCCTAATATATACGCCTACAAGCCACGGAGGACAGGACAGACCGCACTACCAGCCCAGACTAGCGCCCAAGGGGAATAACTGAGTTGCGGTGAGTCCACATCGACAGCCCACATGCGATCGACAGCTTACATTATGGATGGATGCCTGAAAACCCCGTTTTCCTAGCAGACTGACTGACATATGAAGTGGCCTCCGAAGATTGTTTTACGTGAATATGAGCTATAAGAAGAAATTGATCCATCTGAATTATTTGGGCGAGAGTGGATTAATAAATAACTTATAAAGCAAAGGGCTGATACGCTGATACTATGTTTTACTGGCCCTCCTGGAGCCGGAAACAGCCTGGTGACTAGAAGATACTTCTAAAACTCAAATACGACTTAGCAGATATGGAGTATTTCGCCGGTGAGTTATATGAAGAGTGTACGAAGAGCGAGCGCGAAATTGGGTCTGATTGGGTCGTTGCACGAGTAGTGCGCATGCATCGTTCATTGGCAATAATGATCCCAAGTAGTAAGATGTGTAGCAGCCGGTGACCTCACACCTAATAATCTCACCTAAAGAGCCAAAGGCTCATCAGAACGCGAAGGATAGAAAAACCGCTGCTTCCTGCCACAACAACGTGAAGGATGGAAAAATGCAAACATACGCTAATAATTAACCTAACACCATCGTCAAAGGCCGAAGCAAATGCATGTTACATATCTACTCTTCCTGTCTACGTAGAAGTATACCTTCTAAACATTATTATGGGCACTCGGCAGTCGCTATCATATACTGCATACGTGCGCGCGCACGTGTCCGTAATAAGTACAGCAATCTTCTCGGCAAATGTATGTACATACGGCTGTACATTGAGATGACGTCATCAGCTCGACGTCCTCACGCCTGCGGCGAGCAAGGCTGGCGGCGTTCATGCGACCGACCAGCTTCATCAATATACCCATCGTGATACAGTGGTAGTGCCCTCATCAAGCACGAGGGCACGTAATGATCGGTGAACGTGCACCGACAACCTAAACTATCGTTTAGATGAAGGACATGAAGGGATCATGAAACAGTGTCCCGCAGTGCGGCACCCACAGAGTTTAACTCTTCGATAACAATTCCGTTCAGATATATGTATAGCAAGGGGTCCTGTACATAGATAGATAGATGGATAGTGGATAAGCAAGTAGACGGCTTGGATGCGAGCACTTAGGATAGCGAACGGTTCACGCGCTCAATTCAAATGCGCTAGTAACAAGAACAACAAGAACAACGACGACGGCCAGTTTTCAGATAATCTTATCGTATATAATAAGGACAAGATTGTCTGTTTCACAGTCCGATTAATTACTAGAGCTACGCTCTACAGATGTATTTACAACCTACAAATCGAAAGGTGCGCGTGTTCAATCACAATTCGGGGGCAGCAGCTCAGCAACTACGCAATAGCACGTTAATGGTGACCAACACCCAGCCAGCAGAGGAGAAACGGAAAAAACTATACATGTAGATATGCATCGGTGTGTGCAAGGAGCTGCTGTGCTGCGATGCAATCGCGTCGTCGCAATAATAGCTAGGTGCGCACGTGTATCATTTCCATTAGCGTATGGCATCATCACACAAAGCAAGTAGCGCGCCGTGATGCACGCACGTTAATTTAGATGCCGCCGCCGATAGACGCACGCGCGCCGACCTATCTATCTATCTATAGATGCTGCAGCGTGTACCCTTGCAGCATCCCGCGTGTCGAACTCAGGCCCAAGCGTGAGTAACGATTGTATGTATGTACCTATGTATGTATATGCGCGCGTGGCCTAACGTGCCCGTGAACAAATGCTCGATTGACAGTTTGTAGCAGCAGCAGGCAAGGCTAGCTAGGCGACACGAAGGACGGTCAGTAGTCATCATCCACATACGCGCAGATGTGCCTGTTTGTACGTATGTCCATCGCAGGGGCGTCGAATGAAATGATGGAAAAGCGCCAATCGAGAGCGAGCGAGGTCGAACGAGCGAGGCAGGCCAGCGGACGGTGAATCCATCCACAAAGCCATCAAGACCAGCTCTAACAAAGATGTAACCCCGTGAAATATGATATGGCACATGCAGACCAACTTTTGCAAATCATAAGCTGATGCCTTCCAATACTACACACACACACACACACCCTCTGGATCCATGGCCTTCCACGGGCAGCACGTACAAGCCCTAGGACCAACGAAGCCATACCGGCGCACAGCTGCACTGCCTCTTACGAGGAGTCCCGTGCGGTTGAGATCCCCCACTTCTATCGCATATGCGCTGCTGCTGGTAGTAACTTGCTTCCCCTACGTTCTCCCACGTTCTCACTTCCCGCCGACCCGCAGGCCGACGCAGGGCACGAACCCTGGCGAGAGCATTTTTTCATGGCTTCGAGCAGCAGCTAGCCAGGTAGCAAAGGACCAACGAGCACGAAAATGAATTTTTTGGCAGTGCAATGCAGTCTGCATCATGCAGAAGGCAGTAGGGGAAGCCGGGGAAGCAAGGCACATTCCTTTAGCCGAAGAGCGGACAGCCGAAGGGCCGGAAGGGGGTTCCGGCTGGAGGAAGTGAACTCATGACACGTGCAAGCACGCAGATAGTTCACAGGGGCAGCGACTGGCGAGGGGAGCCCTGCTGCTGAAGGGGGGCTTCTTAACGGCCCTTGGCACCGTTTAGCGTTTTTGTCCTTCGACGGCCTAACCAGAGGACTGTGTAGGCGGTCTTGGCGATGGAGGCACGCTTGATTTTCCTAGGGTTGGCGGTGCTGGAGGAGGTGGGCTTCGCGGCGGCGGTGAAGGCGGTGAACGCGGCGGTTGGCGAGGCCTCGGCGGCCTTGGCTTCGGAGGCGATGGGGGCTTGGGGACCGGCGGCGGGGGAGGTGGCGGTGGTGGTGGCGGCGGTGGTGGTGGCGGCGGTGGCGGCGCATTGTTACAAGGATGCGGCGGCGGCGGCGGCGGTGGTGGTGGTGGCGGCGGAGGGGGAGGAGGTGGTGATGCGAAGCAGTCGGTTGGGGATGGCGGCGGTGGCGGAGGCGGAGGCGGTGGTGGCGGAGATGGCTGTGGCGGGGATGGCGGTGGCGGAGATGGCGGTCTTTTTGTAGACGGCTTAGGGGGTGGGCGCTTTATAGGTGAGGGTGGAGGCGCCGGGGATGGCTTCGGCGGGGGTGGCTTGTCGTTTTGAGGCTTTATGGTAGGTGGGGGGCTAAATGGTGGTTGGTTTGGCGGCGGCGGCGGCGGCGGCGGGGGCGATGGAGGTGGGGGCGACGGCGGCGGGGGCGATGGTGGCGGCGATAATGGGCGCGGTCGTGGCGAGGGTGGTCGTGGTACGGGTGATGGTGGGGGGAATGACGGCGGCGGGGGCGATGGAGGTGGGGGCGACGGCGGGGGGACCGATGGAGGTGGAGGCGGCGGCGGCGGGGGCGATGGAGGTGGGGGCGACGGCGGCGGGGGCGATGGTGGCGGCGATAATGGGCGCGGTCGTGGCGAGGGTGGTCGTGGTACGGGTGATGGTGGGGGGAATGACGGCGGCGGGGGCGATGGAGGTGGGGGCGACGGCGGGGGGGCGATGGAGGTGGAGGCGGCGGAGGAGGAGGCGATGGAGGTGGGGGCGACGGCGGCGGGGGCGACGGCGGCGGCGGTGATGGACGCGGTCGTGGTGAGGGTGGTCGTTGTACGGGTGGTGGTGGCGGGGATGGTGGCGGCGGGGGCGATGGAGGCGGGGATGACGGTGGGGTTGATGGCGGAGGTCTGCGCAGAACGGGGAGGGAGGAACATCCAGTCTCAGGCAAACGGCAATATTGCTAGGGGGCCCAAAACAGGCCACAATACAATACCCTAGACAGGTGCCATTCCGAGCTTGTCAAGGACCTTACTTCCGCCCAAGCCGCTTAAAGGGAAAAGTAACCCAGCCCACCCCAATGCATATAAGTCTGGGCTTGTTCGCTCTGCCCAGGGCAGCTGCTCAGGACAGGAAGTAACCGACTTTTTCTACGGTGTACAACTCCATCGCAGCACAATGGCGAGCGAGCGGCTTGTTGATGTTAAATTTCGTTTACGTTTTTTCCGGCGTCGACGGCGAAGCGTAGCGATGTGGAAAGAAACGAAGCGGAGCATATGCGGAGCAAAAAGCTGAGCACTTACGACGGGACGTCTTCGCACTCGGCAGGGCTTTCCGTGAAGCGGCAGATCTTGATGGTAATGGAGGTACCGGAGTTGGAGAGGGCTGCGTGGCAGAATGCAGGGGCGAGGTAAGGTAAGTACTACTGGCGCAGGACGGATGAACAAATGGTATGGTGCAGTACACACGCCTGACGTACACCCCTGACCTACACGCAGGAAACCATGGGTTACGACCCGCGTTTATCCGATCGCTCTTTTGCTTCCCTCGCCCTATCAATCTGGACCAGCGCTCAAGCAGCACGTTTACTAGCGAGAAGAAGAAGAATTGCGCTACGCGTCTTGCTGTCTGCCAGCAGCCCTAGCAGCAGCAACAGCCCTAGGCGCAGTAGCCCTAGCAGAGCAGCAACAGGGGCAGCAAGTGCCTCCTTGTTCAACAGGCAGTTCTGCAGCAAGTATGTGCGCGTGCGCCTGCCAAGCAAGCAAGCAAGGCCAGTCCGAGAGGCAGGCAGATACGAGAACTCTCATGCTGGCAATAATTAGTACATGAATACTGCAAATAACAAAGTAAACATAGTAAAATAAATATAATAACAATATTAATATTAATAATATTAATAATAACAATAGAAAATTTTAATCGTATTATGTCGTCCTCACTGGGTTCCGTGTGTTTACGCACCCCCCGCTGCCCGCCCGCCTCCTCAGGTGAAAAAGCCCCTCCCGACATGCATACATACATACCTCCCGTTAGGATGTGGACTTTGTAGTTGAAGAGCGCTACGGATGCGCTCGGCCTAAGAACTCCGGTGATGGACACCTTCGGGTCATCAATCACCCCAAGCGTGCCGTTGTTGTCCATGTCTTGAATCACTTCGTGCATAGAAACCTGTTTTACATACACAGCAGGCGCGGGAAACGCCCCCATACAACGAGCTGGTCCAGGGAGGCGTGTAATGGGCGGGCCATGCAAGGGACGGGCGCAGAAGGCACCGCACAACCGCACAACCGCACAACCGTACATCTTGCATGTGCATGGAACAGAGTTAACGAACTGTAATGCCGGTATCCGAACGAACCTTTCCGTTGTAGTCTTGCAGCAGGTCTTGATCACCCGCCGCCCGGCCCCGAAGTGCCAGGTATATATTCCTGCAGCATGATATGAACGTACTACTTAGGCACGTCTGTGCTGCTGCATGGTTTGAGGCAGTTTGGCGAGGGACGAGTGCGGGCGCTTTGCCGTACGGGGCAGGGAGAGTGAGGTTCGGAAGGGCCAGCCATTCAGGTTCAGTAACGGTAGTGGAGAGGCGCCGCGCGGGCTACCTTCCTTCCTACCTCCCCTTTGCGGACCTCCGGAGGACCATGGAGGGGCACCTGGAACGTATCGTGGCTGAGTCCTCCCGTTCCCGGCTCCCCTGTCTGTCCCTCAGGCTGTCACGGTGTTGCTTCTGGTGCGGTGTTTTTTGGGTTTGTTGGATCTCCCCCTGGACCACAGCCCAGGCGGGGGCCCTAGGCGGAGCAGGTCAGCAGTCGTAGTAGCATGTCTGTGAGGTGTCTTGGGGCTTCTAGCTCTCCGACCGCTTCCTTTTGGGGGGCTTTTGTTCGGGTCGTTTGCTGCAGCAGGAGGCTTTTCCCGTCCGAGACGACAATCCAGCCGTAAACCACTCCTCTGGGCCTCCTCTCCTTTTGAGTCGGGGGGTTGGGACTTCAGAGAGGCTCTGCCCTAGCTACGTCTTCTGGAGGCGTCCGTGTGGTACGTGAGAGCCCGTATGCTTTCACTGCAGCACCTCTCTAGCGCCCATTTGGCGCCTGAGTCGGGGTCGGGAGCACACAAGACTCGGGACAACTTGTGTTGTGTCGTGCCCCCCACCCTTAGCGTGTGTTTCGGCTTCGGCCCCCCACCCTTTCGCGGGTCCCACTGTAATCCAAGTCATACATACATGCATGCATACATACGATTAGGGTGCCCCTCTCGCAGGGGAGAGCAGGGAACTGCCTCCAAGGGAAAGGGGGCCGCTGGTGAAGCTATACCACCACCCAGTAACAACATGCATGCATAATTACATATGGCTGGGGCTTCAGGCTTCATTGAAATTGCTTACCCTGTCTTAATTACATTCCTACCTGCCTTGCAACTAATGATTGACTCGCTGAGGCGCCACCCAAGTCAACCCAACTCAACCCAGGTCAACCTACTGGCATGGGCATGGACTTTCATGGTTGGGATGAAGGTGAGCAATCGGAATGCTCTAGCGGTACTCCTGCTGCGACTGCTGTGATAATTTGCCCTTCCTTAATTAGGACACGCAGCAGCAGCAGTACGACAATAGACGGTAGGATCCGTTGCAAAAACATAGAAAAACGCAACGCAGCACGTGAGCGCGATGATGATGATGCGTACAGGGCACACGGAGTACGGCAAAAAGGCTTACCTGTTATAAAGAGATCCGAGCCAATCGGGTTGGATCCAGATCATGACTCCGCTCGATTTCACGTAGGTGGCTGTAAGTGTGTACGTCATGTACACGCCCACAGGCAAGGAACTAGAGTTAAGCTGCGCCAGGGGTGTTGCCCAGCCCAGAAGCCGAAGCTCGGGGGCAGAGGGGCAGCTGTCACCGAAACCCATGGAGGTGGAGTCGTCCATATACTCGACTCCATCTTTCCAGCCGTGGTACAGCCCGAAGTTGTGCAGCAGCTCTTGCATCACCGTGCCTTTTGAGAAGATGCCCTGCGTGCGTGGTTACGAACAGCCGGATGACCCTGCTGACGTATGAGGGTAATGATGAAGTTTTGGAGGACAAATATCTGACATGGCATGACGTGACATGCGCACGCCGCCGGGCTGAAGTTACCCGATGGATCCAATTAATCGCAGCAGCTGGAGAAAACCTGCGCTGGATAGCTATATCTATATATATAGCTCTAGATGGGCAGGTACGTAAACTTTAAGTTGTACCGTACTTGACGTGAAGTGAACTGCAAGGGGGAAAAGCAGCGCGCCTTCTCGTGCCTTCTCTCATGCCGTCATTATCCAGACAGCAGGCAAGAGACAACACCAGACAGTGCAGCACAATGCGGTTCACGTCGTCAAGCGAACCATTTACCCGTACTAAATGACACCACGTACACCACCACGTACGGCATAGATTAGTCATTAAAATCAGTTTAGTTTGCTCTATCCTGTAGCTTCAATCAACTTGTGCACAGTCGTACACACAGCGTGCGATTACGTATGAGAACGTGTACTCGAATACACTGACACGAAACACGGGTGATCCGAGTGATCGGGGTAATATATCTGCTGCACATACACACACACGAACACACACGAACACACACACACGCACACACACACACGCACACACACACACACGAACACACACACACACACGCACACACACACACGCACGCACGCACGCACACACACACACACGCACGCACACACACACACACGCACACACGCACGCACACACACACGCACACACACACGCACGCACTTGCGAGTCGGGTGTGAACCAGCTTTGTGTTCCGGGAAGCTCCGCAAGGCCCACCCAGTTGCAAGTGAACAGCATACCGTCCGGCAAAACGTACACCAGCTGTGTGAACAAGCCGGAGTTCAGAAACCCTGTGGAAAAAACGAGTCAAAACACGCGTGAACGCTTTGGCAGCGGAGTCTGGCGAAATAACAGCAGCCTACGCGTTAACGCTGGAGGCGTCGCTCTGCCATCGGAACACGTACGTACATCACGTGAGAGCAAATCCGCTGCAAATACGATGTACCATCTGGATCTGTGTGTTACTATGTGCACACTGCTTGTACGCTCCCCCGTACCTGGCTGCAGCTGCGCTTGTGCAGCGGTTGAAATGACGTCTTCGTCGCACTTGTTTACGAGCTCCAGGGAACACGGTACTACTGTAGAAACAACCTGCATGCGTCATTGTGGTTCATCATTGTGGTTCATCATTGTGGTCTAATGCAGTGCACGGCCAGCTGGCCCGATGGCTCTACTCTTCGGGAGTCTGGAGCCCACTGTAACAACCACACACACATTGTGGTTCATCACCGAACAAGACACAAGCCTGCCAGCCTAATCAAGCAACAATCTGCGGTGCACCTGGACGGCCTTCGGAGCTATTAGCTTAACCTGCCTTGGATAAGGCTGCTCAAGCCAAAGAGCGGGTGCGCCATTCGCTAAGATATAACCCTAGAACCGTAACAACCTACCGTAAAGGCCTGTCTGTCGAAAACCATTTTACCGTAGCTGCAGTTGCTGAAGAACTCCGCGTAACCGCCCGCATCCAGGAAAGCGCTTCGAACGCGGTTGACCTGCCAAGGGCGGCGAACGAGGCATATGGCAGCAAGCTTGGCGAGGTGATGACGAACACTGCCTGTGAAGGTGAAGGCGGCTCCTTCGGCTCTGGCTGCTGCCAAGCTATGGAAGTGCCTGTATAGTACTGACGTGCTTGTACGTAATAAAAGAGTGTGTGTGCGTGTGTGTGTGTGTGTGTGTTACACACTGTCCATACATTGCAGTAGTAGTATACACACATACACTGAACTACCTAAGGTATAATAGGCTAATATTAGTGGGTGTGACATAGACCTGGAGGGACAGACAGATAGACAGATAGACAGACAGACAGACAGACAGACAGACAGGAAAACAGACAGACAAACATGTATGGAGCACGTATAACATGCATTCCTAACGCGTGCATACACATGCATGTCCGGAATACGTATTATCCGATACAACACACACACACGCACGGACGGACACACAGTTGTTATCATTACCCACATCAGCTCCCGACCGGCTGCCGCACTGGTCGCTGGCACTCAGGCTCATCACCATGATAAGCACACGCAGCGTGGTATTGCTGGCAGATGATGCCGGATTTGCAACTACCGTGGTACTCGTCACCGTCGTGTATGCGATACTGGAGCAGACTGATGCGCCAGCCCTTGGCAGGTAGCATCTCTATGTGTTCGATAGGCAATAATCAAACAAACAAACAAACAAACAAACAAACATGTTAAGTATGCAGTAGTAGGTGTTACACGGGTCCATCAAACACAGGGGATGGATTGGGTTCAGGATTACCCGGGGTTGGGCCACAAACGGTCTGTCGGCGCTGATCTATGTTCGAAGTCGGACGGCTGGAGAAGTCTCCGTCCCCTTTAGGGGAAGAAGGGGAACACTTCTTCCCCTAAATGATGGATTTGCAGGAGTAATGAGGTGCAACCATACACATACACAGTTTATCGCTGGTTAGCTTAATGGCAGCAAGTCATCTATCTCCACATGGATGCAGGCATGTATTCATGCATGCGCTTTAATCGGCACACATTAGGTGCGCTTACACATACACTCGATCGTTTAAGCAAGCGGCATATGGGGCCACGGTACGACGGACCTCTGCTGCTGGTGATGAGTAATGGCTATTCATAGAGCTGTACAGCAAGATTTACAGTGCATGCATGCATGCATGCATGCATATGCGTTGCAAAGTGTGATGAATGATGAAAGAAACCTACACCGACAACCCACCAAGGAGACGTAGCTGCCTGCAGGGATAGGCTTGCCCCTTGAATCCAAAGGTTGAACTGGTAGCCGATAAAATTTCTCTATGAAGTTACTATCGAGAACCTTGATGAACCATGCTCCGTTGCTCCGGTACAGCAACACACCCTGCAGCAGCAAATGATGAAGTACATCGCAATTCGCAACACGGCAGTCGCGCTGACAAATAACGGATAGCTCATCTATCTTTATCCAGTTAGTATGCACAGCTTCACGTATGTTCCAGATACGTTCAAATACAAATTTTCGTTGCCCCGTGCGTGCGCTGCTGCTGACGGTCAGATTATGTCGCTATTCACTAGCGTGGATAATAAGTCAATATTGGTGTGAGAGTGAACTCAAGTGATAATGTCAGCCTGGGCAACTAGTGTCACAAACCTAACGAGTACTCTCGGGGGCCGAGGAACAGAACGTTTTCTTATTGCTGCATTCGTATGCGTGGGAGATGCAGGACTTTAGGGAACTGCGTGGTGCATGGGATAACAATCTATCCAACCAACCGCGGTGTAGATGATCCGACATTCGCTCGCACATGTGTTGGGTTCCTTCTTGCAGACACGCGTGCTCGTTATTATTATTATTCGTTTTTGTACTTTACGTAAGAGCACCACTACTGCTGCTGCTGGCGGGAAAATGGTGCTGCTTGCGTTACTAGGTTTAATTATGATGCGACCCGACACAGTGGGGGGCCTCTGCCGTGTGGATGAAACTCCTTTTGCAGCAGCACAGTCCATCGAAAAACAATGCATTTAGTAATAAATGGTGTATGGAGACGGGACATGCATGGCAATAATGCTAGCACGCAGTACGCAAGGTAGCTAGGCCCCAATCCAACATTCACTGAGAAAAAGCCGAGGAGGTACCGTCGACGCGCTGATCGTGATGTTCATCCGTTCGCCTGTTGGTTACCGACCTCAAGGCTTTCGATCAAGCGTCCCACTGGCGGGGACGGTGGCGAACGGGCCGCGGGCGAAGGACGCGGCGAAGGTGGCGACCGCGGGGACGGCCTGGGAGGAGGAGGAGGAGCCCCAACGGCGCCTGCGTGCGCACGCACCGGACAGACAGACATACAGCGCATCTATCTATCGCTGCACTTCATTGGTCACAGAAATACATAGGAGTGATACATCCATAGGGCATGCGCGCAAAGCTAGCTTGCATGGCGGTGATACCACCAAGGACGGCCTCTTTAGGCAATGCCTAGTAGTAGCAGTAATCCATGCATGGCGGTGCAGGACGAGACCGATCTGCGCAAGGCCTCTCTAGCTAGGGTTATCAGACAGTTGACCAGATGAATAGCATCCTGGCAACAGGCGAGATAGGCAGGCTGCTATCGATTTTTGCATACTCTCACACAAGTCCTGCGACATCTGTATCTGCGCCAAGCCTTAATTGCGAGCTGGGGAATACATAACAATATAGGCGGTACTGTGTATGATGAATACCAAAAATAGTACCTAAGGTACATACACCTAACTAGCTAGGCATATCGACACAGGCGTTCAGGCATCATCCGCAGTCATCATATTAGATACGAGGGATAGTTAGGTTTGGATTGAGTGCAAAGGCGCAAAGCCTGACTCGAGAAATAAGAATTTCCTTATTTGTGCTAAAATGTTATTTAACGGCAGAGTGGGATTTCGGAAGGGCCGGTTGCTACGCTACAGTATGCGTATCAATAATGGAGCACCGCTTTTTCATCATTACTGCTGCTCTCATTCTGTGTGGATTCGAATACATATTTCCCACACGAAATAAGTAGTGCAGCAGCAGCAACAGAAACAAGGGACGATCTGTAGCGCGTGCAGCCACAGCAGCTTTGGATAAATGCACAGTTAGGGTTTGTGGTCGTGTACATGCATACATGCATACATACATACAAACATAAACACATACAGGCATTGAAGCCCGCCCATCCTGGAATGCTGGACGCTAGTAGTTCCCTCCACGTGAATTTAACATGCTTGGGCTGTGGCTCATGTCTCGCAAACACGCTCGGTTTCAAATTATGTGGGGACTGTACCATGCATGCCTGGGTCGGGTTTACGACGGTCTGACGATCTTGCAGGCAGCAGGTGCACGACGGCTTCATTCGTTCGACTGATGGTGTGCAGGCGAACCAAAGACAGATGCCAATCGGTGAACCTCACATGTAACACATTTGAATTGATAATATTATTGCGCACCTTGCAGGACAGAAGAAACTGACAGTAATAAGGAAAGAAATATGAGCTTTTGCGGTCCGAAACTTCGCCACCACCGCTTCATCTCCTGTGTTCTACCTGCCAAACATTACCAGACATATCTGCGTTTACTTACGTGAACACGTCCTAGGTTTTACCGCAAGCTGATACTTTATTTAAAAGTCCAAGTTTGTGAGCAGGAGCATAAACAAACAGGCAATTAAAATTTTGTGCATGTCATTTCTGGACCGTTGCTGACTTACCTTTGCCAGTGCAGCCTTGCCAAGGCTTGTGCGAAGTTCCATTTTTGTTCATTGAAGGCTGGCAACTTCGCGATATTTGAGCTTTGTTTATTGTTATAATACCTGTCAGTCGCGTGTGATGATGGCCTGCCTCGCTCTACTACCCTACTAACGCAAATAGGGCCTCCCGCGAGGTGCGGAGCTAAGGACAAGGGAAGCTCAAGTAAGGATAATAGCTACACAAAAATCCAGCTTGGACTTAATGAAATATTACGATTTGTCCAGACCCCAATTGCCCAGATGCGATGGGCGGAAATCTTTCGACTTGGCCTAGCTTTCGTCCACAATCTCAAAAGGATGAACGGCTCCTAATTGTTCATCTTTTACAGCGACCTTGTAAGGATGAAACTCCCATCAATATTCGAAATCTTACGTGATTCCGCGCACACCTTCCGTTGACCTGCTGCTATTGGTGCTTTCACCCGAATTCACCGCAACCCTGTACGGAAAAGCAACTCTAATTTTTGCGAATGAGTGTTACAATGTCACCGCGTTCGTGGCGTGTGTTTGTCGTGGATTACCGTAGTGCTTGCTTGGTTTTTTTATCTTTGGCAGTTGTCGCTTGGCCGCGCAGTCCATCTACACGGCAAGTGTTGGTGGCATTTCCCGGAGCATCATGGCCGCGGAAAGGCGCGTGATGCCGCAGGAGAAGGCCGCCTGGGCCCGCCCACTTCATCTCTCCTTCCCTTTCGACGCAGGTAGAGCGATGCTACGGTGTGTCATAACCACCCGCAATGACATCCGTCACCTGCCGCCCACAAACAGCTCCAGCGCGAAGTCTTGTTCGACCCCCTTGAGCTTACCTGCTGCTGGATTGCAGCGCCAGGCAGCACCTACTCCTGTTCGTCCGCGGGTTTGCAGCGCGGCCCTCCACAACTGCCTTTTGAGGGCCGCTTAGCCGTCCAACGTCGTTCCCAATACAGCTGTCAGCCTGTCAGCTAGCGGATGCCAAGATATCGTAAAGGAAGGGACCACCGGTACCGGCACCGGCAGCCCACACCGTTGCCAGCCACAGTAGCATAAATAGCCGGAAAACTGAAGAATTCCGAAAACGGAACAAACTGCTAGCCACCATGGTAGTGTATCGTTATGTGTGCGCTTTCATACGTAACAGGCCATGAAACCTCTATTATGCAGTCTGTCCATATCCATATTCCATCAGTGGAGTCGCAGGAGGTCGAGCCCACCGCTGACCTTTCGCCTGACACACTTCCATCCGACCACATCACCAAAAATCCTGTTTGGAAGGAACATGCCGCGGATGACGCTCATATGTCTGGAGTCCAGACATATTTATACAGACTCTGGACATGTGTATAAATATTGTCATGTATCATCATTTTCATCCTTTTCAGCCTCTCTGATGGAAGTAGTCAATTCATCCCTTTTGACATTCAAACTTTCGACATCCTCTTCTCCTCCCCTAGAAGCCCCCTGGAAAGGTGCCGGTTCCCGTCCCCCCTATGCTGCCGTACACATGCAGCCGACTCTGAGCCTAACTCCTATACCGTTAACCTCGTGCATGCGCCGTGCCATGCCGTCATGTGTATGTGTTACATGGTTGGGGTGCTGCGTGACCCCATACCTGTAAAACTACCCATACGAGCCGAAGGCCCATGTAAACGACGCCTCCGTGGGCAAACTGGCCTTCATTATTCGTCCTGCCGGCGCTTAACCTGCCCCACTCTTCATCTGCCTTGCAGTCCGCTGGGAGAATAACTTTTCGGCATTCTCGGTCACATGCACAATATCATAAAATGCAAATGCGTACATATATGTGTACTGAAAAATGCAAACCCAAACCCAGTACTTCGGTACCCAGTACAGTACTGGCCGTACAGTACCGGCTATCGGCTGCAGGAAGAGAAGGTAGGAAAAGCACAAGCATCCTCACCACCAGCAATACTACCATTACCGCCACCACCACCACCGTCATCATCATCATCGTCGTCT